TCAGCATTTTTTATATATTTCAATTATTGAATGAACAATTACATTAGGTTTCTCTCTCTATCTCTAATTTTTTTTTTTTTTTTTTACTAATATTTTTTTTATTATATATATATATATATGTATATATATATATATATATATATATATATATATATCATTTTCAGCATTTTCTATATATTTCAATTATTGCTGGGTATATCTTTCAAATTTAACTTTAATAAGAAAATACCAAATCAAAATACAATAATAATTTTTTTTTTAGAGATGATATTTACACTTCACTTTTCTCCAATTGCACTTCATTTATCTTTATCTTTTAAAAGAAATGACAAGAAGGTCCTTGAATTTATTAATGCACCATCTCTTAATTTTTAATGTTATAAGTACACTTTATACAACTTTAACTTTTTTGTACCTTATTTACTTTCTTTATTATTATTTTTCCTTTCTTTTTGTTTTTTCCGGAAATTCTCTCAAAGAAAATAATTTATTCCATAGTAATAATTTTATTTTTTGGCAATTAAAAGAGATAATTTATTTCATTGTGGCGCCTCTATTTTTTTTTTTTTTTTTTTTTTTTTTTTTTTTTTTTTTTTTTGTACAATCAAAAGAGATATTTAATCAACAAAGTTAACTTTTTTCAATCTTGTCAAAAAATGTAACTTTTTTTTTTGGTAATTTTTTATAGGTCCTGTCAAAATAAATAATTTATTTAATAAAAATATATATAATTTATTCAATAGAGATAAAAAAAAAAAATTAATCATCTTCTTTTCATACCCCTTTGTTTTTGGGATCTTGACAAAAGAAATAATTTCTTCAATAAATATATTTTGGGGGGAGGGGGTTTGTCAAAACAGATAATTTTTAATGGTTACTTTTTATTTTTTTTGGTCCGGTAAAAAAAGACAATTTATTCAACATAATAATTTTTTTTTGTTTCGTTTTTTTCCCTTGTCAAAAGAGACCTAAAATATTAAAGATTAGAGGTAAGAAGAATAAATCTAAAAGGGCAGTTATGTAATTTAAAAAGTAACAATTATGATTTGTAAAGTTAGAGTTAGAATTGTCATTTCATTTAAAATTATAATGCAAAAGTTGAAAAGTGAAGTGCGAATATCGTCTTTTTTTTAAGTGAATTATGTAAATTAGAATTCTTATTCACAGTGATTCATTTATGGTAAAAATTGTAATTTATAGTTTTAATTATTTCACAATTTAATCCTAAGAGTCTCCCAAACGGGGATCAAAATCCTCTCCGGCGTAAGAGTCCATATGTCCCGGTTGAATAGAAATGACAATAGTTTGAGATATATGTTACAAAAATGTTAAGTTTCCTAACTTGTATCCCAACTTTTTTTTTACTGGCATCCCAACATTTTCCTAACGCAGCTAGGGAGGATTTTATCCCCAAACGGATTAAGTTATTAAGTTTTGCTATTTTTCTCTCTTTCCTTTATTAAAATCTTTTCCTATATTAAAAAAATTAATTTAAAAATACATAAAACAACTAAATAAGCTAACAAATAAACAGTCACCTTTATTAAAATCTTTCTTATATTAAAAAAATTAATTTTAAAATACATAAAGCAACCAAATAAGTAAACAAATAATCAGTCACCTAATTCAAGATAAAATGAAGTATAGCAAAAAAAAAAATTGTTGGGTACGATAATGCAATAAAATAAGATTTCTGTAGGTTGAATTTGAAAAACCCTTATTGTTGGGCACCGACGAAAAAAAAGAAGCAAAAATTCAATTTTGGGGTGTCAGTCTCCACCATGTCGCCATTACGCGTCATTCTCCTCTCGCTCTCTCGGCCCCGAAAAACCTGAAACATTCCAACAAACGAAATCCCAACAGAAAATCTAAGAGAAAAACAAAACCAAGAAGAAAGGGTTTTCAAAAAAGTTTTGGCTGATTCATACCAAACCCACTCATGAAACAATTCCGTACAATCTTTATCCTATTATAGATTCAATCACAGCGTTGTTTGAACATTGAATTGTTGGGTTTTTGTGAAGTTGAATTCGTTTTTGGGGCCGAAGGCTTTCTGGGTTTTGCGTGTCATTGCATGTGGAACCTGAGAGCTGAGAGCTGAGAACAACAGGAGATTATATATGCATTTATTAGGCTTCATATGTATAATCCGATGAAATGAAAAGGATTTTATGGAGATGGAGCTGTAATTTGGGAAACAATGGGCGGCAGAAGAGTCCGTTCTGTTGTTATTTTCGTTCTTTTTATTTTCATTTTTGTTCCCGGTAATTTTGAATGCAAGCGGAGGCTTGCAGAACTCTTTTTCGACGATGGAATCAATTGTAGAGAGAGAAACCAAGGCACGGTATGATGATTTTGCATTATTTTCTCTTGAATGCGGTTTTATTGTTTGTGTATACGAAATGGGATATATTGTTTTATTTAAAGCAATTAAATTGTTGTTTCATATATAGAATGGTTGTTTTATCGTAGTGTATTCTTTGTGGAAAACCTGTTCTGTGTTTATTTATGTTGTTGATTTTATTTTTTTTCAATATCAAAATAAATTTCATATTTTTTTCAATATCAAAATAAATTTCATGGAAATTTTGATTAATTACTTTCTCAATATCAGATGGTTGGTTGAATTGGCTCTATTGAAATTGGAGAACTTATGCAGGCAGAGGACATAATGTTCTTCTCTACTAATTAGAAGAAAAGAGCAAAGAGCAAAGTCACTTTTATGATTTTTTCTTCCTTCAATCAGAAAATTATTGAAATGCTAGAGCATCAGAAAGTATGGGGCTACCACAAAATGTTTATAGAAGAGGGCTTTTAAGTTCTGCTGTATAACCTTCTGCATTATTGTAACTTCAAGGAATGTCTAATCTTCTGTCTCATTCTAATAGTGTTCCAAAATGCACTGCAAATGAATTAGTCGGTCAGCAAAATTTTGAGGTATGAAATAAATGAGGAATGCTGACGTTTACATGTAATAAAAGTTTTGGAAGATCGGCTGGTAGGCTAATAAGCCGCCGGAGTTTGTAACTGATTGTGTTCTGATTTTGCTGTAGGAATAGGAGGATTTGTGTAATTTTTGAGGAAAAGAGTAGTATATAATCTATACGGCAAAGAGTAGTATATAATTTAAACTTCTAATATTATGAATGGAGAGAAGGGAGAATGAATGTACAGGAAGGACATGGCATAGAAGATCATCTATGTTTTGTTCATTGATTTTATAAATATTTCTTCACTACCATTGTTCAAGAACAAGCTTGACAGGGACACTTGTGCTTCTGAGTAGCTGTGGGGGCTCCAAAAGCTTCACTAACTTACTGTCCGTGCTGTATTTAGATGGTGTGGTGCTTCTGGACTTTTAAGGGTTTTAAGCGTGTAGAAGCACATGCAGCATTGCTTATGTGTAACAAACAATCTAAGTATCATTAACAGTTTGAGACTATGCCACAATACAAAAGGCGGTAAGCTAGAAAGGGATGTTGCCAACTACTAAACCTACATTGTTGAGAGGCAAAACTAATAGTAGATCATGTACAAGGTTGCAATATTTATAGATTTATTGACATGCACTGATCCTTTTTATTCCCCTGTAACATGCACTTAACCCATATAATCTTATAGGTAAAAATGCAAATTCACTTTTTTCTCAAATGTTGTTACTCTTTTCTGTTGATGACGAAGTTAAGTGTATACAATTACCTTCTCATGTCATCCTTTATAAGGAAAGAGTTTGTCCTTGATTACCATATTATAGTCTCACAAAGATGAAAATGTCATGTCAGAGAGGAAAGAACAGTGACTGCTGTTAAGTTGAGGAAAAAAAAAAAGAAAAAAAAGTGAAATAAATTGTTTGATATCTTGAAGTTCTAGCTCTGAATACAATTTTAAGTTTGCAAATTGAACAACCCTGTCCTAATTTTGATGAAATGTGTTGTATGCAGGCTGAGGAGGCGTGGATTCATTGCAGGAAAGAAATGAAGGAAAGTAAAAAAGCTGTTGAAGTTTATGACCTTTATCTCCCACAGGAAATTACTGATCTTCCTTCTGAAATGAAACAAACTCTTTTGGATTGCCTAAGAAAGAAAAATGTTCCGCTCCATGTTTCTGGGAAAGAGGTTGGCTCCAAGACTTGGTTCGACGAGTGCCTACAATTACTTTATGGTTGGCCTAATTTTCCTAGAAGGTACCTGAAAGGTGGTAAGTCGCATCGTCATCGAACAAAAGTACCCTCTGCTAGCACTCAATCAAGAGAAAAATTGCCAGATAATGCTCCAACACAACCTTCTCCCACACCTGCCATCTCTCCATCCCAAATTTCACAGTCCCCTGCAATGACTCAGAATCCATCTTTGGTGCCAGTTCCAAAGCCCCGTGCCAAGGCTCCAAAGCCTCGCGCCAAGGCTCCAAAGCCATCTGCATTCGCATTTTTGCGGTCCCTTGCAAAGAGTCAGAAGCCATCTCTATCCCCAATTTTGCAGCCTCCTGCCAAGAATCGGAAGAAATCTCCACCCCCAATTTTCCAGATCCCTGCCAAGGCTCCTGAGTCATCTCCGCCAATTTCGCAGCCCCCTGCCAAGACTCCGGAGCCATCCCTCCCACAAGAATTCAATTACTCACCTCATCCATCTGCTGTTGAACATCCTCTACCAATGCCACCTATTGGTCCACCTCATCCAACAAATGGTAAAAGTGGCAGCCAGAAGTATATTATTGCTGCTATATCTGCAACGTCTGTGGCAGCAGTTGCCCTTGTTGCACTGCTCTTTTTTTGCTGTTGTAAAAATAAAAACAAAAAAAAGGACCCCACAGATGGACAAAGAGCTGAGAAACCTCTTCTGAACTTGAGCAATATTTCTGGTATTTATTTATTTATTTATAAGGATTAAGTTCTGTAATTGAAAGCTTCAATTTTACGACTTTTGGTGACTTTTTAATTTAATATTTCAGGTTCTCTTAGTGTGGGAAATTCTAGTAACAAAGATTTTAAGACTTCATCCTTTGTTAATTCAAACGGCATGGCTGAATCTCAATCATTGGAAGCTTCTCAAGAGGCATCTGGAAATATCCCTGCACTTAAACCTCCTCCACCTCCACCACCTAAACCTCCTGCTCCTCGCCCTCCACCACCTCCAAAAGTTGTTCGTGCTCCGCCTATTCCACCAAAATCGGGTAATTCGACTAAACCTTCACCTCTTGGACCACATAGCAAAGATTCTTCTTCAGACGAGGGACATGACCTATCCAGTGAATCTGATGCTCCAAAAGCAAAGTTAAAGCCATTATTCTGGGACAAGGTTCCTGCCAACCCTGATCACTCAATGGTTTGGCATGATATCAAAGCCGGATCATTCCAGTAAGGCTTTAAAATTTGTTCATTGTTTTCTTCAATTTTACATAGAATAGTTTATTGTCACTTCAATCTCCAATTTTGTTCATTGTGAACAAAATTGTTTTCTTCAATTTTTCAGAAAATTTGTTCATTGATTTGTCAAGGAATTTGCTGAAGTTTTATATTTTGTTTTGCAGGTTCAATGAGGAGATGATGGAAACTTTATTTGGTTATGCCGCTGCAGATAAAAACAAAAATGAGCAGAGGAGAAAATTGTCATCCTTGGGAACTACCAAGCAATATATTCAGATTATTGATGCTAAGAAATCACAAAATTTAGCAATTGTTCTAAAAGCATTAAATGTGACAACAGAAGAAGTCTTGGATGCCCTCAAGGAAGGTCTGTCTGTCTGTCTGTCTGTCTCTCTCTCCTATATGATGTGAAATCAACATTGAAGAATATCATTTGATTAGCATGTAAAAAATGATCTTCTTCTTCCTCTTTAATTGAGCATGAAGGAAGAGTTTTGATTCGATGACGGGCTGTGTTTACCCGAGCCACCATTCTTTTTTTGTTTTGTTTTCTTTTGTGCGTGTGTGTGTGTGTCTTTTGCTTCTTGTTTCAAGGGGAGAAGGGTTTTTCCGGCAGTTTAAGGGACTCCTAAACTGATTCAAGTGCAGCTGTCGAATTTAAATAAAGAACTGTCCTTGTAGCTAATAATATATATTGTTGCTTATATGGTAATTTACTATACTCTGATTCTGTTAGTAAACAAGTAATAGTCATCATTATCTTGGATTCCCTCAAAAAATAGGAAATGTATACATCAAGAGTTGGACTTTTTCTTAAATACAGTGGGTATGGGAAGATGACTGGTTTAGTGAATCCTTTATATTTTTTTGGGGTGTGTGTGTGTGAAGTCAGGATTGTTTTTTTTTAAAAAAAATCTGATCATCACTAATTCTGTCGTGAAAAAATAAATTTGCAGTCAATAGTCTTGCAAATTGAAGGTTCTGACAAGATACCCCTGTGCCCTTCATTTATAACAAAGAAACAATCTACTTATTTCTCTCATTTATGGCTTCCATGGTCGCTATTTTAGTTCTTATTGGCCAAAGAATGACATTAATACTGATAATTATTATTTGCCCATGTGTATTGATTCTTTAGTGACCTGAGTTGTTAATGAAATATAAAATGGACTGACGTAATGAGTACATTTAGGTGACTTTTTTCAAACTTTCTTATAGACTATTAATTAAAAAATAATAGACTACCATGTAATTTAAGTTACTGAGCATTTGTCAGTGTCAATGTGCAACCAGTTCATTACCTGTAGTCATAATTTGAACTTTTTGTGCATCCTTTTATTTCTTGGGTGTGCATTAACCACTTATTCTTTGTTCATTTAATCAGGTAATGAGCTTCCTGCAGAGCTTTCTCAAACCTTGTTGAAGATGGCACCAACAACAGAAGAAGAACTAAAGCTTAGGTTATTTAGTGGGGATCTTTCTGACCTTGGGCCTGCTGAGCGGTTCCTTAAAGCAATGGTTGAAATCCCGTTTGCCTTCAAACGACTCGAGTCATTATGCTTCATGAGTTTTCTTCAGGGGGAAGTCTCTTCCATTAAGGAGTCCTTTGAAATTTTAGAGGTGAGATATTCTATCTATAAATGTATTTCATTACTGAATAATATGAATAATGAGTTCCTCTTCTGTCTAATTTAGTGTATTGTTGAAGTACTCTCTGTCTGTTTCCCCACTTCTTCAAGTTGTCACTGACATGACATTAATATCAAGTTTCTGCACCACAGCCAGTCATTCCCAATGTTTAATGGTAATATTTAGGTGTAAAGAATTGAACATTTCGTTTCTGAGAATGTTACTGGTTGAGTAGCCCATCTATGAGCAAAAGTTGGAGACCCGATTACACCTTCGTAGATGATTTTCCATGGAAGTCGGAAGCATGGATGAATTGCATCTAGTATCTTATTATCACTTACACAAACACCAGCCATATGTTTCTGTCATATAATTATGATGCCCCATCTTAATTTCAGGTAGCTTGCAAAGAGCTCAAAAACAGCAGACTGTTCCTGAAACTTTTAGAAGCAGTTCTCAAAACCGGCAACCGTATGAATGACGGTACCTTCCGCGGTGATGCACAAGCATTCAAGCTTGACACACTTTTGAAACTGTCCGATGTAAAAGGAACAGATGGGAAGACCACACTTCTACACTTCGTTGTTCAGGAGATCATCCGATCTGAAGGCATACGAGCTGCACATAAAGCAAGTGAGAGCAAGAGCATGTCCAGCGGCTCCAGCCTAAAATCAGAAGACCTTGTTGAAGATTCTATTGAAGAAACAGAAGAGTATTATCGCAGCCTTGGTCTTCAGGTCGTTTCAGATTTAAGCAATGAGCTTGGGAATGTAAGAAAGGCTGCATTCATAGATGGTGATATCCTAACATCAACAGTGGCCAAACTTGATCACTCGCTATCCCAATGTAGAGAGTTTCTTAACACTGAAATGAAAAGTATAGAAGAAGAAAGCAAGTTCCATGATACTTTGGCTAGTTTTGTGGAACATGCAGAAGTTGAGATCGCAAGGTTGCTTGAGGAAGAAAAGAGTATAATGGTTCAGGTGAAGAATACAGTGGATTATTTCCATGGGAATGCAGGAAAGGATGAAGGGTTGCGTTTGTTTGTGGTTGTTCGGGATTTCTTGGTAATGGTTGATAAAGCATGTCAACAAGTAAGAAATTCATTAACCATGCGACCGAGGAATCCCAGGAAGGAGGGTTCAAGTTTAACGGCATCACCTTCTCAAGGAGTTCCTCATTCTCCTTTACAAGATGTTCGCCAACAACTATTCCCAGCAATAAAGAATCTACGGATGAATGAATCAAGTTCAGAAGATGAGGGCTTCTCACCATAGCAATCTACTTAAGGACCAAAAAGAAAAGAAAAAGAAGGTATATTAGATTATCTGCTTTGGAATCATATTTCTGTAATCTTTATTTTTCCCATTCCCAGTTGATGAGGAAAAAAACAAGTTGCTCCCAAACAACTTTGAAAGGAAATTGGGGTCCTAGTGGAAACTTAATAGGCAATGGTGTGTGGAATATGGGAAAGGAAAGAGCTGTGAACTGGTGAATTTCAGGGGCATGGGAGAGCCATTCAATAGCGTGCAGGCTTATTTTGTTTTCCGTAAAGTAGGAGCCGGTGTGTGATTCCCAGACCCCACAATGATGGGAGCCTCGTGCACTAGGTTGATAGGGAAGGGCACTCTTTTAAGTTGCATTGTATTTTCACTGTAACTGTAGGGGGATCAAATGGACACCAACAATTGGCCATAAGTCATTTAATTATTTTGAATACATAAATTAAATATGGAACACTGGATGAAGATCTATTATCTTACACAAATATATTTAAACATGGACAGTCTCATTTTCTTGCCCTTTGTATATGACACTTATTCAGGTGGATATGGAAACTTGGAGCTCTACCGCAACAGATGAAGCTTTGAACTCTGATCTGGATCTCTCTGTAAATTGTCTATGTAGCTTATGAAAATGAGTTGTGTCTGATGAAAAGAACAAAGGATAACTCCATGGATCCAAAGGCATTCAGTCCATAGTTTATAGTGACCTTTATGTAGAAAACACCCGACTTTTTCATGAAATGACAAGCATAACATCCTTTTAAATATATATTTTTTTCCTTCTGTTTTTTGTATCGTATTAATATTTGAAATCTAATATAGAGAAGCTGTTTGATGTTATACATGGAAATCATTTAATTTTCTGGTCACTTGATCATTGGATAGTTTTGCATTCTTGATGCTGCCATTAATATCTTCAGCAGAAGAAAATGCATGTTAATACCTAGCAAAAACGAGAGAATTCTTTTTCATTTCTTATAATGACAGATAATGTAGATTTACATCATTCTCAATAATCTAATATATATATATATATATATATATATATATATATATATATATATATATATATATGATCAAGGGCAGAAAACTTAGACTAAAATGTCCTTACTTTAACATTTTATAAAGGATTAAGTGCAAAAAAATCCCTCATAATATATATAAAATGTGCAATTACCTCCCTATTAAAAAAAAAATCCCTACTTTTTTAATTTGTACAAATAAGGATAAATTATAATTTTGACAGTAAAATTACTAAATTAACTTTACTTTTTCAAAAAAAAAAAAAAAAAAAAAATTAATAAGACAAAAGGCAAAATATCAAAATTATCTTTAAAGTCACAATATGACAATTCTCTCTCTCTCCCTCTCTCTCTCTCTCTCTCTCTATGTATATATATATATATATTCACGCATAGTCTCTCTCTTTATATCTCTCTTCAATCTCAAGACAAACAATCTTCCTATATTACCTTGTACTGCCCGTGGACCTGCTCCACAGCCTTATCTTTTGTAAACCCAACTACTTATAAGAGAATGAAACATGTTTAACTAGTTACTGGTGTTTATTCAAATTTAATTGGAATTCACATGGATTTAGGAATGGCATGTTGTATTTTTGCATCAGTTAAAATTTGAAGAAAGAATATATAAGTGTAAAAATTTGCAGACAAAAAATAAATAAGTGCACATAAATGAAAATAGTCATAGAATTGATTTTTTTTGACGTGGCCTCCTCTAAATACAAGTAATTTTATATCTAATTTTTTTCTCTATTTTTCATATATCCATTTTTATGATTAATTTCTATCTATAATCTATTTATACTGAAAATTTGTAACTGGTTCTTAATTTTTTCTTTTGATCTTTTTGAAGAGGTTGGAATTAGATTGCTGATTTTTTAAAGCAACGTCTTCCCGGATTGTGCTCTTTGCTGATATTATGAAATTTCTTCGGCTTTGGTGATTTTGGGTGCTCTATGTTACAGAGAGATACCATCAATGGTAGAGAGAAATTTTACAGAGAAATTTTTTTAGAGATATATTATATTTTCTTATTGAAGGATAATTCTAGAAATGGAAGGAAAATATATAGAAGTAATAGAATTAGAAAAGAATATTTGAAGGAAAGATTATGTTTCTAATTTTCTATACATATATATTGAAATAAATAATATTTTTAAAAATAAAAAATGAGTACGGATGCCTAGAATCTCACTTCGCAAACTAAATGAAATATATAGTATCATACAAAAAATAATAAATAAAATTGGACAATACTTAGGTCGTCACTAGTGAGGATTTATAACATACTCACTACTTATGTGGACCAATAATAAATGGACACATCCTATTTTAATTATCAAATCATGGATGGTAATCAAATTACCATATATGATTTAGTAAGTGAGTATCTACCCCCACCATATTGAATTTGGTAGTTAAAGCTGACATGTCCATTTATTAACATATTGCTAAACGGCAACATAGAGATATTTGACACCTCGGGTTGATAAAAAAAAAAAAAAAACAAAGAGACATTTGGGAGAGAAAAAATATTTGAGAGAAAGATTTCCTTGGATAGGCCTTGAAATACATACAAACAAGCACATTAAGTGTTCAAATATACAAAATTGGTAGGGGGATTCTTGTTACACAAAAAGGGTACTTTGGGATTTTCATTACAAAAAAATTACATCACAAATGGCTATTTTTCAACAAATCTCGATAGGGGGCAATTTGCTCAAAATTGGATAATATGGGAAGTTATATGCATTTTTTTTTTTTCTAATAGGGGTTTTTTAGCACATTTTTTATATAGCGAGGGATTTTTTTGCACTAAAACCTATTATAAATAATTAAAAAAAAAAAAGATTATTTTGTAAAATGACTGAAAATGACTTTGTACAAGCAACCCCCAAGGGGGTAATATGCTACTAATCTCATGATAGAGGGGTGTTATGTACACATGAAATGCAATATATATATATATATATATATATATATATATTGAATTATTTAATTCATTATAATTGTTACCTTTATTATTATTGAATTCTGATTCTTTACTAAAATTATTGCACATGAAATACAATAATAAATAATTTTTTTTATACCCTCAATATATATATATATATATATATATATATATATATATATATATATATATATATTATTTTGGCACGATTTTTGTATTTGAGTTAGGATTCTTTATATTGAACTAAAAAAGAATTTCAAATGAGATTGAATTTAAAAACATATATCATACAAATTTTTCGACAATTTCATACCCGGAATAAATAAATAATTAATTGTTGCATTTCATGTGCAATAATTTTGTAAAGAATCAGAATTCAGTAATTCTAAAGGTAACAATTATAAAGAATTCAATAATTTCAAAAAATAAAATAAAAATGCATTTCATGTGCATATAACACCCATCTACTATGATATTAGTAGCATATATATCCCTTTGGATATTTTTAGAAGAGTAAAAGGACAAAATGGGTATTAAAACACTAATTTATGTCAGTTTTTTTTTATTTTTTATTTTTTTATTTTTTATTGAAAAGAGTTTCCTTATAATGTGAAAAAAAATATGGATATTTTTTGCACACTTTTTAAATAAGAGTAAAAGTACTATGTTGAATGTTGATGCGAAAATCCTGGCGACTCGGAATGACGGCGTTTACCTGCAAAACAAAGGGATGTCGCCTCGAATGGCACCGGTGGGGTGCTAGCCGAGAACCCTCCGACAATCAAGTTAATACTTGTAATCATATTACATAATAATTATGTAATTTCTGTTTAGGGGTTTTTTCCCGTACTTTCTTTAATGGCTTGGTGCCCTATTTATGGCTGTCGATTAGAATCAAATTGGTTCCGCCGATGTCGATAGTTGAGGTCTCCCTTATTATCCGCTTGTGTGAGATCATAGGAGATCTGTTTGTTGCCAGATTTGTCGGGGATATGATTTACTCCTTTGACTTCCTCTAATTGTGCCAAGGTTATTCTTACCATGTTGAACCATGTCATCTTTCATTATCCTTAATTATGAAATATTATTCTTCTTATCCAATGGAAATATCATCGTTCAAAAGTCGAAGAGGTCTGACAACTGGTCAACATTTAGTTGCCTCTATCGTTAGGTCAAGGTAGGTTAGGTTTATTTTTCCTTATCAGTTGCCCCCCATTCCCAAGCTTGCTTGTTTAGCCCTTGGCAATGTTCCCTTGGGAATAGTGCCTGCGGGTACTGTTCACTTGAACAGTAATTTTTTTTTTTTTTTTTTTTTTTGTCCTAGGTAATATTCCCATTAGGTATTCTTTCCTTAGGTAATGTTCCCTTGGGTAATGGTCCATTGGGTAATCTTCCCTTAGGTATTATTCCCAATGATGGAATTAACCTAGATACCAAATTAAGGTTTTGTTTCGGAATGGCATGGATTCAAACCCATGATCAAAAAACTCTTAGTGATGTAAAATTGAATTTTTCTTTTGAAAATCCAATATACTAGTTGTAAACTTTATGGGTTTCAGTCAGCCCATCCCTTTAGCAAGGGAATAAATTTTATGAGTTTCACTCAGCTCGTCACACCTTTAATAAGAAAATTAAATTTTACAAGTTTCACTCAGCTCGTCCCTTTAGTAAGGGAAGTCGGTTTTACGAGTTTCACTCAGCTCGTCTCTTTAGTAAGGGAATTATGTTTTACGAGTTTCATTCAGGTCGTCCCTTTAGTAAGGGAATTAGGTTTTACGAGCTTCACTCAGTTCGTCCCTTTAGTAAGGGATTTAGGTTTTTTGTTAGCTTTTTTGTAAAGCATTAATTACAACATAGGTATAACACGTGAGGGAGCTACCCTCCATTTAAAACAATAAATTACCGATCAATAAACATCGTCCCTTTGAAGATGAACTTCTCAGGAACTTGTGAGGAGGATTGTTTTTTGACCCGACCTTTGTAAGTTAAGTCCTGATCTCTGATGACCATACTTTTGTCAGTTAGGCCCTCGTTTTGGTCTCTGATGACCAGACTTGGGGTGACCAGGCACTGATCTTGGATGACCGAGCCTTTCTAGACTTTGGGTAATCAATTCTTAATATTGGTTGACTAGGCCTTGGTTTCGGATAACTAAGCCTTGATTTATGATAACCAATGGTTGTACCCTTATGATCTAACTTTTGGTGTTGGAACTATTTTCTTTTTCTAGAGTCGTATTTAGATCTGTTTGACCATTGATGTCTCAACCTTTTAATAAGGGAAGTAGTCGTTCTTACTCCTTTGGTAAGGGGTTTGTAATATGTTCAAGCTTCACTCAGCATGCCCTATTGATAAATGAAACAATAATTTCGAGCTTCACTCAACCCGCCCTTTTAATAAAGGGTTATTTTTTACGAGCTTCACCTAGCTCACCCCTTTAATAAGGGGATGTTTTGTCCAAGCTTTATATGCTTGCCCTTTAATAAATGAGTCAAAGTTTTTCACTTTCGTGGACTTATCCTTTATGCCTGCCTTGCTTTGTGGCTATGGTGGTAGTGACCCGTCAAATTTGAAGTGCATGTGACTAAGCTTGGTTCCTGGTAGAAAAGACCATCATTGGTGTTTGATGGTTAAAAACATCATGGGACCACCTTGGACATGGTGGACTCATTGATTGTAGAAACTTCACTGGACTTAGAGTCCTTCCCGGTGTGTAGAGATTTATCAGGTTATGGTTTGGGAGGATCAGACATTGGTCTTGAACGACTAGTGCCCTTGAGGGGTCGCTAAAAGAAAGAGACTAGAAACCCGACTAACTCGATGTACCAATGTTGATACGTCAATCTTCTAAACCTTGTCATCATATGTAG